GTATTAGATAGGTGGGCCAGACTTCTAACGCAACTTGAATCAATCTTTGATCGATTTCGCATTTTTGCAAGCACTTCGATGATCTTCGTGGCCCTAAAACTTTGTACTATTCTTTAACCGCTTGTCATACTTTAACGAGTCTAACTCGTAATGGTGATTTCTAGTAAGAACCTGTTAAGTGTGAATGTTATTCCGTTCTTTTAAGTTGGAATGAAATTAGTTATTGACAATCGGTAAATATAAAAGCCGCAAGGCTCGAATAATGATATCCTATTAGGAAGAAATTACTCTACTAGGTACATGACCCTTCGAATCATGACATGTGGCCTTCAAATTGCCTTTGAATCGTGTCACGTGGCCTCCTAATTGCCTTTGAATTGTGTTAAGTCGCTACTGAATTGCCTTCGAATCGTGTCATGTGGCCTCCGAATTGCCTTCGAATCGTGGCATGTGGCTTCCAAATTGCCTTCGAATCGTGGCAAAAATTGGAAATAAAAAAGTTAAGCCATCGTTTTTATTCTATCATTACTACGTATTCGTATTAATGTACATCGGCATGCTAGCCGCTGTCTATTACATTGCGGTTATATCAATAAATAAATAAGTATGTAATGCACAGGTCTCTCTTCCTACTTTTGTCACTGCGAATTTCCTTTCGCAGAGCATATCAAGGATACGAAGCTTTCGTAGAATCGTCAGCTTCGTTAAACCTGGAATGGAACACCGTGTCAAATTTAGATCCTGTTACGTATTTTATAGCGTCGTTCAGTTTTAACGCCAGCAATCAATCTGATTTATTTGAATGTTGAACGACGCCTTCGTAAGCCCTTTGCGAAATGGGAACTTTGCGAGACAAGAAGTTAATTCATTACTGCTGGATAGAACGATTCTAATAAGTACGTATATACGTACGAATAAAGAATCGATACGTTCGTTAAGTTAATTTTCAGGTTCTGATACGATGCAAACCTATAGAAACGAAGAATTATTATTTCATCGTGCCCTAAATCGTGTTTTATTCCAGGACGAACACGTTAAATTTTTGTTCCGTTGGAAATATCGGATCGACGTCCGAATTTTCGAGCAACCCGGTGCATCGATGAAAATGCAGCACGATCGAAAAACTACGGTGTGTAATCGAGGTCGACGTAATTTCGGGATTTCCCGTAATTCTAGCCGTTATCGCGAGAAATTCCGACCTTTGGTCGATTACCGGCAAACGACAATGTCTTCCCCATTCTAGCCTGTAATTACCAACTTCGGGAAGAAGTTCTTCCATCCGGAGAAGTCCCTAGAAGGAAGTACCCGGGGCTTCTCGAACGGAAATTTGTCTGCGAATCGACTCGGATTCGCGTGTTTGGATGCTGTAAGGTGAAGATTTGCTGAAACTTTATTCTACCAGGATCGAATCGACGACGCGGAGAAACGAGCTAATTATCCGACATGGCTACGCCCCGAGAAACTGTGGACTACTTTTTCTAATGAATCTAGAGCGGAGCTTCCCAACGGGCGCGCCACCACATCTGGAGAACGTTGAAATTTCAATTTCCAGTTACCTTCTGTATATTATTCTTTATAAGATTCGAGAATTACAAATTTTAATCATAGCAGTTCGCTAAGAATGAAATTGTGCATGCAACAATGCGTATCTCTGTTAGTGGGCATTGCAAAATTTAGGCAATTTTTAGTGTTACTTGGAGATACATTTTCAAAATGTTGTTCCAATATTTTCTGAAAATTAGTGAAGTTGAGTAAATTGTATTTGCACTGTATAATACAATCTAATAATTGCAGTATCATTGCTATTGTTCCAATATTTTCTGAAAATTACTGAAGTTGAGAAAACTGTATTTGCATTCTATAATACAATTTAATAATTACAGTATCATTACTATTGTTCCAATATTTTCTGAAGATTATTGAAGTTGAGTAAACTGTATTTGTACTTTATAATACAATCTAACAATTACAGTATCATTATTATTGTTCCAATATTTTCTGAAAATTATTCAAGTTGAGAAAACTGTATTTGCATTCTATAATACAATTTAATAATTACAGTATCATTACTATTGTTCCAATATTTTCTGAAAATTATTCAAGTTGAGAAAACTGTATTTGCATTCTATAATACAATTTAATAATTACAGTATCATTACTATTGTTCCAATATTTTCTGAAAATTATTCAAGTTGAGAAAACTGTATTTGTACTCTATAATACAATCTAACAATTACAGTATCATTACTATTGTTCCAATATTTTCTGAAAATTACTGAAGTTGAGTAAACTATATTTATGCTCTATAATACAATCCAATAATTACAGAGCGCCACAACTTCTGTAAAAAATAATTTCTTATTTTTTAATCTTAATTTCCTAATTTATGCACTCTACTATTTATTATCTTGACAAAAAGACGGGCAACTTTAAAACTCTTTGTACAAAGTCCAAATTATCAAACAACATTGTTCTTTAAATAAACAGTCATTGAACAAGTGTACTTAACATTAAAAGACATAAATGCGTCCACGATTAAATGGTTTTCATAAAGTAATCCGTAAAAACAAGAATCTCGATAAAAATCTGGAGTCCAGCCACCGTTTTCGGGGCCACATATATACTAACAAATCGACCACATATCGCTAACGACGGAATAAAACAATTTCCTAGCGAAACGTCCGCAGAGAAGACACGGAATGTTGTTGCACGCGGGGTTAAAAAAAGAAATCGAGATCGAATGCAGTCAGGATGCACGAGAGCGATGCAATAATCCGAAACCGTGGTCACGAAGTCATAATTCGAGTACCGCGTGTACACCGCCATACCCGATTACTTTCGATCGACCAATAGCTGTAACGTCGGAACCGCGAGCTACCATAAAATTGAGTTTCCAGTTGCCTTGAAGGTCGATTAACGTCCAATCGAGACCAGGCAACTCGATTATTTCCTGCAAATCGCTTTTCCTAAGGTCTTTACGAAGCCCGGATTTCCTCCCGAGCCAGACCAAGAGTACGCCGTTCCCTCGCGTAATTACCTTACCGCCGCATCGTGGTCGAATTGCCAAAAAAATTTCCACGAAATTCGTATCTTTGTGCGTCTCGCTTCACTCGATGCAAGCGGGCCGGTCTTAGGTTTCAATAATCGCCGATAAACGGCTGGAATATACAGTAATGTCTCTCTAATTGACGCTCAGATTGTCCACAGAAGTGGACAATTTTGGAAGAGGAGATGCGATTATTCGAGCTTTGCGGTTCGTTTTTATAGTCACGAATTGTCAACGATTACAAAAACGAGCTTCAAGGCTCGAATAATCGTGTCCCCTCTTCCCGAATTGTCCAGTTTTGTGCACGATCTGAGCGTCAGTAAGGGAGACATTACTGTACTTCGATGCTCGCAAGACGGATGCTTTTGAAGATTTTATGTCATCGGTAGACTAAATTCTATTTTTAAGGTTCTTTTAAGCTTGATCGTTTTATTAAATCCAGTACAAACAGCTAATGAGTCGTACTGATTACCGGAACATCAAAAATTAGGTATAGAAATACAAATTAGAAATACAAACGATTAAGACAAATAGCTAATGATTGGATCTGAAAATGGGAAAAGTATCAAGGAAGAAGTCAAAGGAAAGAGAACAAAAAATATCAAACGATATAGAAAAAAGGAAAAATGTAAAGTTAATTACCCTAAGAAAAACATGGCGTTAGCCTTGCAAGAAATTCGTGGAGGAACTCTGTTGCACAAATATCTCGGAAATATAACATTCCAGAATTACGCAGTAATCGGAGTAATCCACAGTATTTGGCACACAGTAATCCGAGTAATCCACAGTATTTTGGCACGCAGTAATCGGAACCGTCCGCAGTATTTGACACGCAGTAATCGGAACGTCCGCAGTATTCGGCTCGCAGTAATAGATACATAACCGCAGTAATATAGGCACACGTGTGAAAGGCTTCGCGTTAATGAAATTCGTGCTTTCAGAGATCCGATATTTCGAGAAAAATAAACATTCAAGTTAAAGAATTATAGGTATAGCTCAAGTCGTCAACTTTCAAAATTCTGTCAAAATTCTGTCAAAATTCGTCAATATTCTGTCAAAACTCTGTCAAAATTCGCCTTCATTGAGAAACCGCAGTAACACCTACACTTAACCTATAAGTTTCTGTGTTCACGTGTCCTGACACAACGACGTAATGTTCTTCACAATGTTCAATTTTATAATGCAAAATCAAAATTTTCTGAGGCAATTTTCAGAAACAGGAGCTACACAAAAATATACATTCGCTTTGAATCATTTTAATAAGTCGAAGTAACAATATTCCCGAGGTCCTCGCAGTTTTGAACTTCACTTATACATTTTTATCATAAACGCATAAATAGGAACAGTTGTCAATTTATCGGCGTAAAAGGTCTTATTTCCTCTGTCAAAGCGCGCCTTCATTGAGAAACCGCAGTAATACCTACACTTCTAATAATAGTATTAATTTGATTCCATCTACAGTAAATTCTCCCTAATTGACGTTCAAGTTGTCCACAAAAATGGACAATTTGGGAAAAGGCAAATAATAATTTGGCAAATTATTCGAGCCTTGCAGCTCGATTTTTATAGATGTTGACAATTCGTTCCTATAAAAACGAACCGCAAGGCTCGAATAATCGTATCTCCTCTTCCCAAATTGTCCACTTTTGTGGACAATCCGGGCGCCAATTAGAGAGACATTACTGCTCACTTCAGTTTTGTCCACGATTTTGGAAACCGATCGACTACTATGTGCCGGAAATTCGACAAAATCCCGAATATTAACAGAACTATCATTTTATCGGTTAAATTAACCGTCGCGCGAGACTTTTTGCAGAAGCACAACGTCGTGACTCAGCCCGAAAAGTTCGCGGACAGATTCGAGGAGAAACGTTCGACAGAAGATGAAGGTTCGGTGGCGGAGAGGAACGATGGGAAAATTCTTTCCACGATGAACAGAGAGAAATAATCTTACAGTCTTGTCGCCCAGATTCCGCACTCTACACGTGAGATAGGCTGCCTTCCCGATCAGCGCAGTCACGTTCGTGCTCTGCGTGTGGTCGAACGTCGGCTCTGCCTTCGACTTCAGCCCGGATGGGTCGACCAGCAGCTGATTCCGTGGTTGACTCTGGCTCTGGTGTGGAACCATGTTGTCCATCGCCCGATCCCCTAAGCTGAGGGTATCTGTAACACACAGAGAGAGAGAGAAGAAAATTCCCCGTCACACTTTCTCTTCGTTTCTTTTCCACGTGCACGTCGAATCGAGCGTCTACAGGGTGTCCCAAAAATGTCTCGCAATCCGAAAGCAGAGGATTCCTGAGGTGATTTGAAGCAACTTTTTCCTCAGCGAAAATGCAATCCGCGGCTTCGTTTACGAGTTATTAACGAAAAACGGTGACCAATCAGAGGGCGAGATCATTTGGCGCGAGACGGCCGAGCCAACGAGCGCAACTGTGCTCCGTGCACTCGTTGGCTGGGCCGCCGCGCGCCAGCCGAGCTCGCCTCTTATTGGTCAGTGTCTTTTCGTTAATAACTCGTAAACGAAGCCTCGGAGAAAATTGTCGCAAAGGAAAAAGTTGCTTGAAATGAGCTCAGGAACCTCCCGTTTCCAGGAATCTCCCAGATAGCGAGACATTTTCGGGACACCTTGTATATCGATTCCCGAAGTCGCCGCGGGAGAGAAACCGAGACGCCGCTGGTGCACGACGCCCGTTCGTTCTCATAAGCAAGCGAATCCGACTTTGACTCTGTTCCATCTAGCGTAGAAATGCCGAGGCCACCGGGAATTCGGAACAGTGGTTCCTTTGGTAACGACCCTGGGCGCATTGGATCCTCATTCCCGTTTCTGTTTGTCTAGCCATCTGGCTAAGGAGCTGGTTTTCGAGCCCCGAAGTCGAAACGTTTTGACCTCTTTCCGCGGCATTCAAGAAAGTTTTTTAATCTCCGGCCCACATGTCAAAAAGTTGTCCTATCTGTGGGCGAAAGGAAAGGATCTCGATTGTTCCCGCGGAAAACGCCCTTATGATACCGCAGTTACAAGGAGTTACGCCGGCGTTCTCTCTCCGGTTTCCATCAAACTTTCCTAGCAAATTTTTAATAACCGGTGGCCCGCAGCTTTTCACGCGAAATCCGACGTTCTTCCGCGTCCGTCGCAACACAAACCGACAGCGAAATTCTGTTGATCCTCTTACGGTTGTAAACGCGTCCTACTCGCGTTCATCGTAAATGCACGCGATCGGTAATGCAATCGGTAAATGCACTAAACCTGCACTAGCTGATCGTAATGACCGGTTTCGCGCTTCTTGTTGACACTAGATTCACGGAGCACGAAAAACAGCTGTTTTGCATTAGTTTATAAAGGTGACAATGAGACATTTGTTCTGATTTTGAAGAAGTGTTATTGCAACATTTGCTGTAAGTAACGTGTAAGTTGAATAAATAACTCATAAATGTATCTTTACGATTTGAACAATCGTAAATTGAAGAATTAGTGTCATTTTGACGGGTTCCGTAAATCTAGTATTGATAAAATTTTCTCGTATGTATGTTGTGTACAAAAATGTTTCGAATGAAAGTTCTTTAGTAGACAGAGAAGCATGCACGACAATTAATTTTTTGCTATTTTCCTTTCTTATCAAAACATAAGAGTTACCTTGCGTCTCTTTTAAATATAGATTCTATTAAATATCGAGTAAACGATTTTGATTATTAAGGTGCAAGATTTCACAAATGAATGTTTGTCTAGATATTTAGCCGATTTTTAATGCAAGATACGTTGAAAATGTTGTCCATTACAATCGGTGCAAGCAACTAAATGCAGTAAATTCGTCCTAATTTTCCTGCAGCTTGCAAACGACAATGGACAATTTAGGAAGAGGAGATACGATTATTCGAGTCTCGCACCTCGTTTTTATAATTGTTGATAATCGGCAACTGTAAAAATGAGTCTTTTCCCAAATTGCCAATTTTTCTTTACAAAAATTACAAGGGAGAATTTACTGTACAGTTTTATCACCGTTATACAGCAACACGCGTTAATTACCTTAAGGGCTAAGTGGATTTAGTGTTCAAGAAACTTCGTTAGTTTATTCATTTGTGTCTATATCTAAAATATCGCGATAATTTATAGTTATGTAAACGATTGAAAGCAGAAAATATGCAGCTAAAAGGAATCGAACGACTTATTAAAATATACCGAATCAGACATTACATTTGTAAATGAAATGAATTAAAGTGCTCCCAATTAAGATACCCAATGTCCAAGATTGTAATAATGTCCAAAGATCGTAATAATATCGTTAAGAGTAAAGTTCACTGAATATTACGGAACAGATTGAGCAGTTAAATTTCAGAATATGTATAGAGGAAAGATTACTTTTTGTTATTTGATCCCGAGGAAAAATTCTTTACAGACTCGTCCATTTTTGTGCGCAATCTGAGCGCGAATTAGGGAGAAATGACTACATATCTAAAATATCGCGATAATTTATAGTTATGTAAACGTTTGAAAGTAGAAAATATGCAGCTAAAAGGAATCGAACGACTTATTAAAATATACCGAATCAGACATTACGTTTGTAAATGAAGTGAATCAAAGTGCTCGCAATTAAGATACTCAATGTCCACTGATAGTAAAGCAAAGATTGTAATAATATCGTTAAGAGTAAAGTTCGCTGAATATTACGGAACAGATTGAGCAGTTAAATTTCAGAATATGCATAGAGGAAAGTTTACTTTTTGTTATTTGATCCCGAAGAAAAATTCTTTACAGAGTTCCATTCCATTGAAATGTTTCAAATCGCGGCGGTTCCATTCGAACCGAATTCACAATATTGTTTTAGCACAGTGAATGTACCCGATCGCGATTCTGTGTCGCAAGACTATCTATTGATCTCTATATATCTATCTGGTCACCAATCTTTCTCTCTCGATTTCTCTCTCCCTATCTCTTTGTCTCTCTCTCTCTCTTTCCCTTGTTTCCTCCCTCCCGATTCTCTCGGCTTATCGCACCCTGTATCTATCTTGCTCCATTTGTTCTCCCTTCGCTATCTCCTACACTCTCGTTCCTCCCCACTTTTTTTGTTCGCGCGTTGGCTTCTTTTTTCCATAGCGCACGAAATCGCTATAGCGCGACTAGGTTCTTTTCTCCCCCTTTTCTCTCTCTCTCTCTCCCTCTCTCTGTCTCTTTTTCTAGAGACATTGAAACGACCGTGTTAATAGCGATCGTTGCAGAAATGGAACGCATCAGAGTATAATTTCTCGTGCGTGGAAACCTCCATTTTCCTCGGTCGGCGTGCAACGATGCGTTCCGCGAACGCGGGCGCGGTTAAACTCCCGTCGAACGATGCTTTTAAATATTCGCCGACGACTGGAGAGAGAGAGAGAGAGAGAGAGAGAGAGAGAACGGCAGCCAAGTATTTGCATCTCGAATGAAACTTTTTCTTTTCTTAATGCGCCGCACGCTCCCCTTGGTTGGGCAAGTTCGATTGATTATCGATTTTAGAGTAAACGGAAACAACGATGGAAATTTATTCCAATGTATATATTCGTTTCCTGATGATGCGAAGAAGGAAACACGGAGTAAATACTAACAACTTCGCCGTGATTAATAGGCTGCGATTCAAATTCTCATTTGCGTACGTTATTTTATGAAAATTAGAAATTAGTAGAAAAATTTCTCTCGTCAGGTAAGAGATTGTTCATTTAAAATAAAATAAAAGTGCTGTTAGAACTTGTTATCTCTCTATAGTACAATTTTTGTAGACATAGGTATAGCAAAAAGTTTATCTAACATGAAATTAGAATATCTCAATTTTTGTTTATAAATGAACGACGAATTAACAAAATTGAAGTGTTTGAATGTTTTCTGACGTGTGAAGTAAAACTTGAAAATCATGATAAAAGAACAGAAAAGAGATATTTTTGCAATATTCTGGCTAAGGATAAAATTAAACTAAAAATCGTAATAAATAATTATGTAATTTCAAAGTTACACCGAGTTACAGAGGGTTAATTAATACGTTTCTTTTGCATTTCGAAAATCTCCACACAGCGTAAAAGTATAAAGATGCGTAGTATGGTGATTATACAGGGTGTCACATAATTATGTTAACAAACGGAAAGAAGTGATTCTTCGGATTATTTGGAGTAACGTTTTCCTTAGCGAAAATGCGATCCGCGGCTTCGTTTACGAGTTATTGACGAAAAACGCTGACCAATGAGAGGCAAGCTCGAGTAAGCGCGCGGCAGCCGAGCCAACGAGCGCGCGGAGCCCAGTTCCGCTGATTGGCGCGGCCGCCTCGCGCCAACTGATCTCGCCTCTCATTGGTCACTGTTTTTCGTCAATAACTCGTAGACGAAGCCTCGTAGAACATTTTCGCTAAGGAAAAAGTTCCTTCAAATGACCTCAGGTATCATCCCCTTCCGGCTGTTAACATAATTATGGAATAACCTGTATGGTGATCACCAAATTGATTCGATTAGAATAGTGGAAACGGTTACTATGAGGTGACCAATTGTAGCGACTATGATTTATTTTCGAACATAATTAATTTTACATTTATCCACTAATACACATTAAATTTTCTTTGCCTCAAAATAAACAAAATAAAAGAAGAAAATATTTCAAAAAGAATATACAATTAATTACACCCACAAAGAAACCAAACTAACCGGTTCCACAATTTCACTGCGATCGAAAATCACTTTTCACATTCGCGAAGATATTCCATTGTGAAAGATGACGGAACATCGCATAGGAGACTAACACCCCGCGCATTATACTTTTCCACACGATGATGAATAGACCGCGGATTTCGTGAATCCTCGCCAAAGAGGACTAGCCGAAATACGATGCATCGAAAACGCCTGAATTCGAGGACTGTACCTTGAAGCGAAGCGATCATCAAAACCGAACAAGTATCAGCGTAAAACGATATCGAACAAGGGTCGAAACTGTCCGAGTATCGATTAACCAGCGACACAACAATATCAACGGTGCACGTCCGCCGATATAATTTGGCCGGACCGGGGATATAGCGCGGTGGCCGAATTTCGAGTTCGAATTTCGCCAGTAAATTTCGCGACTCTTCCTGCGCCGCGCGGCCGCGGCCTGTTCATGAAAACGTTTCGCGCGTTGCGAAACGGCCGCAGAGGTCCGTCCGGTGAATTGTAACCTTTACATT